ACATGAATAAACCGGTGATATTTCCTCTTAAAAAATACTGTTGAAAATAAGGTCCACTGTTCTTGAAACATGTTGCTGGAAACTGAATTTCGCTGTGTAACAAGTGTAAAAGTTTCCAGTCGCTGAAGTATAGTATGTGAATAACGAGTCATACCGTCCCCCTTCCATAAATATCGATTTTTTGTTCGACGTAGGTCACCCACCTTGCAGTGAGTGGCAAGAATAAGTCTTCTTTTCCTAGGTGATCGGTTTCAGTTTTGAGACATCTCATCGAAATCAACAAACTTTCTCCATCAGCACTTGTATTAGCGTTTTCTGAACCCATCTTTAGCTGTTGTTGCATTACATGTACACTATCTCTTCCTTGTCATCTAGGAAGAAAACGAGTTAATCACGATTAAAATATATGATCATCATTGCAGTTAAATGAACCCTAATAAGTAGATCAGAAGCGTAAATGTATTTTATATGGAAGTATATTTTGTACACAACATTAGTCGACAGTGTGACTGAAACAAAACAACTCTTATGTGGGTCAATTCAGACAGTAAAGGACTTTTTTATCGATACATACCCTAATCTTTAATCAAAATCACATTCACGATAAAAAGCCATAACCTATTTGTGTTGTGTTATCTGTAGGAGGAACAATCATAAAACATAGTCATCAGAGTTTTGGGAGTCCCATATCCAGAACTATTAATCACATGCACCAAAGTCAGTTAATGCCGATCTACAGAACGAAGCGGATATCCGAAAAGAAGCTCAAGTAGTCAAACGCCATAAGGCACCTAGCTCTTATTATGACGGTGATGAGACCCTAGTCAGAGAACCGACTAGACTGTTCACGAAATTATTGCAGTGAAGCTATTATCGTACCTATCTTTAGAAAGAGCCTACGTATTGCATGTGGCAACTATCGTGGCATTAGTCTGTTACCAACTGTATCTAAAATATTCAATAGTATCGTGCTCCGCAAGCTGTATAAGACGCGTGAGCAGTTGATTCACGAAGAGCAGACCGTGTTTCGTTTAAGTCGTGGACGCACTGATCACTTGTTCACTCTTCATCAACCCCCAGACCATCGCCACACGTATTACAGCCAAACAATCACATATCTTGATATTAAGGCTGCCCTCAAAATTTTGAACAGCACTGTTCTTTCGAACTTTTCGTCAAAGGGACATGCATCTGAGAAGTTTATCAGCACCCTGGAAGCTCTTTGTCAAGACAACTTCAACAGAGTAAAGAAATACAACTAGCTGTTTCCACCGTTCTCAACAAACAGTGAGGTTAAAAAGTGTCACTTAATCCCACCATTTGTGTTTAAATTTGAAATCGATGATATTCTATAGACAGTTTTAAAGGATGCGCGTGATGGTGATGTTGATGTTCATCTATGCCTGGAGAAAGACGTGCCGACCTCAAATATGAGGACGATATCGTTTTACCGTGCAAAACAGACAGGCTGCTCAAATAGAACGTAGTCTGTTAGTCGTCAGTGTCTGTGAGTAAGGTATACAGTTTCCTAAGTATAAGTATTGCTGCAAGATAAGTTTTGTTGATCAGGTCATGTATTTAGGTAGGCGTGTAAGTGTTTGTGGAGGCGTGGCGGGTGAGATGTCTAACCACACAACTATATCCAGAGTGACATAGGTCTATCTGGGCCACCTCTGACGTCGTCGCGATTTCAGCCTGGCTGTCAAGGCTGGGGTTTACAACACTTCGGTATGCGCAGTCCTGCTATACTCCTGTGAACCCTGGAATCTCTGAGCTGAAGATGTGTGGCCACTCTGTGTTTTTAACCGTCTCCACTGCCGAAGAATCTCTTTCAGCTGGTGGAATCGCTCTGTGAGTTGTTTTCAAGTTTGACGACATGAGCGTGGATACAATGGAGATCGTCTCTCAGTAAGTGCTGTCATTTTGAAGCACCAGCTTAGGTGGCTTCAACACGTACTACGAATATAATTCCAGCTTCTAAGATCCATTCAAATATTTCTCTACAGCGATAGTACAGAAAGTGACTAAATATTAATAGAAATCCTGGACCAGATCAGAAGAGCACAAAAAAATATATCACTAACATACCTTAAGGAGAATAATGGTTGCCTGCCATTTTTAGATGTACTCATAACCAGCCGAGAAGATGGGTCAGTAAAACAATCTATCTACAGAAAGTCAACATGGACGGGACAATATCTAAATTATCATAGTTTCTGTCCACTACAGTATAAAAAAGCGTTGGTTAAATGTATGTTCAAGCGCATTCACCGTATATGTACTGCTGATACAGTTGAAGAAGAAAGACAACACCTCACTGAAATATTGTTAGATAACAATTACCCACTGAAATTTATTAGACGTTACGGAAGTGTCGACCATAGACCTTTACCAATCCAAGTAGCTCCCAAAAAAGATGTTTACATATCCTCGCTGCTCAGAAGTGATCAACAAAGTCTGGTCACTAGACAAAGACTCAAAGCCACAATTAATAAAACCTATTACGCAGCTAAACTTATCTTCATAGAGAAAACGAGAACCATGCTGTCCTGTAAACCCTCACATTATCCGAACGATAGTGTCACATCCCACTGTGTTTATCAATTTACATGTATGTGTGGAGACACGTACGTAGGGAAGAGCCATCGGTCTCTGCAGGTTAGGGCTACAGAACACATTCCTAAGTGGCTGCAACAACAAATGAAATCGCCAGACACAAGTGACCCCGAAAATAGATGTCCGACATCATCCATGGCGAAGCATAATATAGAGACGGGTCACAAGATTAATTTCAACAGTGCCTTTAAGCCGTAATATAAAACAAGGTTGGGCCACATACTTAAATTCATTGAAGCCTTAGCCATAAAAATACTTAAACCTGTCTTATGTGTCCAAAAGCTACTTGTTATCACCTTAAACCTGCCTTGGTAATCCAAGCTAGAACCAAGGACCAATTTAATTCATAATATTTTCAACCCCTTCTTTGCATTATATTTCCGTTTTCTCTTTCTCACCCACACCTTTAGCGTCTCCCTACCCATTATTTGTGACCTTGACCTGTACACAATCTGACCTGTATTGTAATTATTCATGCCTTCTATAAAAACTGTGTATAACATGCACGTGTGTGATCAGAATGTCCGAAATATGTTGCGCATATACATTACACGTTTCAGATAAACGTCTTCTTAATGTGTTGTCGAAGTTAAAATTCAGGTACTACAGTCAAGTATAATTCCGTGTTAGATAAGTGCACTTGACATAACACAGTAATATGGTATTATTAACTAGATGATGTTTTGAGCAACCAGAATTATTACGCATATTTCATATACCACCGATTTCATTTCGTAGGTTCCTTTCTTACATATAGAAAAAGCAATCAGCATAGAACTAAATAAGTCTTTCATGTACAGAAAATTTCTTACAGATTTTGTTTTGCTTTGATAATTTACATAACTGAAAATTTAAAAAATGTACAAAAAGAGCCACTTCCCCTCTACCGTATTCTAAATATAGTTCACTACCAGCCTAGTCATCTTCGCAGTTTTCGTGATTTGACTCGGAGGGTTTGAAAGTGGGAAAAATTTTGAATGACTGCAAGGTGAGGCGCTTGACATGAGAACCGCATATATGCGTGTTGCTGAGTAAGCGAGTTAAGACCAATTTGAAGTCTTCATCTCTCCGATCATGTTCTAACTTTAAGTGGTTAAATTAGCAGTTCGGATTGTCTCATTGTTAGTGGATTTACTGGAACTTTCTTTCATCGATCGAAATATAATTTGTTACACTAAAATAAAAATTCCTCTAGAAGTTTGGGATTCTTTTGAGTTGTTCACTTCTGCTTGGTTATTGTTACCACGGAAAAGTAATTCATGCACGCTAACTTCGCATCATCTAATGATCAACCTACAACTTGTAAGCTGAGTGATCAAATGTGGTGATTGACAATTCCTACTACACTATTGTTAAAATACTTACTGTTGTTTGTTAATATTTATTATATGGATTAAAAATAATTCCGCCAAATAAAAGTTCCTAAATTCATTCCTCTCTGTGTTGTTGTTTGATTTCCTGTAATTTGATCATTGAAAAATACTACTATTACAAATAATTATAACATCAAATCAAACCAATTAACCACACATTTAAGCAGAATATTTTCTTAAATCTTACGAATAACATTAGTATAATTCTCACTGATAATGTCTTTATTGCGATAAGATAATTCAGATATGTAGTCTTTGAACTGAATGTTACTAACTGACGTAGTCCCATAATACCTAATGTAGTGTCCAAAAATGTGGGAGGTTTGTACACGTAAAGAAGCCTATTGATTTCCGTTAAACAAATACACACTCAAGTAATAAAATATGCGGATTACGCATATATTTACAGTTTATACTGAATAGTCCGACCGATTCCTAACTGTTGGAAATACAACTGCTTCAGATGATGTTCATGATAAGCCAACCATTCGACTACTTTAAAGAAATGACTATGTTAATGAAAGCACTCCTGCTAGCACAAAGTGTTTCCTATTCCTACCAAGCACTCGCTGATGCTTTTCTCCTCTTATTTTAGTATGCTTTCAGGAACATGATGATTTATTGGCTATGAAGACGCGTGCTCTTCAATATAAGAGCAAACTAATTCTCAGCAAGTCTCGACATATACAATAAATCAAATCAAAAAGTTGGTGCTGTTTGAATTTTCGGTTGCATAGCAAACATTATTTGACTGCATCAAGACAAGTGAGCAATTATAAAATCGCCTCAAAGATTTTTTTGCAGTAAACTTCATTATTATTGGGTAAAGCTTCATCAAAAGAAACAGGCAAATAATCAAAGACAGTCAACATTTGTGAAATATTGAATGATGGCTAGAATAGTTAGAAAACGAACAATGAGTGAAGATTCGAATTCGAATTCTTTTCACTTTTCTTTATTTTAAGTAATCGTCGTATCGCTCAACACGTGGTTCATTGTCGCTTACTACCTTCAGGATATGTACCATTTCCATTGATTTTCAATCAATTCACCTATGTCGTCAATTTCGCCTTCATCAACTGCATTCCATATTTTACTGTTAGTTAAGAGAGAAATGACAAAGATTGTTTATATGATAAACATGGTGATTAATTATACTGGAGAAGTTTCATTTCTGAATGATAGTTTTGTTGGAAGAAACAGAGTGAATTACACTCAAAAATACTACAATTTAAGTTGTAGCTGTATATAAATACAAGTGTATGTGCAAGTCGTGAGCGATATAATCCTGGTACTCTCTGAAAATTTAGCCGAATAAATCCCATCCTAACTTACTGGGCATATTGCAAAATGAACAGAATAAGATGGGATTTTTAACACACAATGGAATACACCTCCCAAATGTGTAGGTATTTTTCATATTCATTTGCAGCACATTAATACACAGTTTTAAATAAAATTATAGTTTATGCATGGTAGTCAGATGTTTTCAGACAACATCAACAGAATGAAGTTTAGAATTGGTAGGAGAGTAGAATTCAAGCGCTGCAGTAGAGTATAACTCCGTATTAGGTGAGTTTGTTTTGTGTTATACAGACTAGATGCATTCTGGCAAGTAGATCAGTCAATTACAATGTAGATGTAGTTCGAATAACCTTCATCATTACATCAACAAATAGGATAAAATTGAATAGCATTTGTATCGGATACCGCTCAGGCTATAAATCTGCGTAAACTTGAACTCAGTTTCATGAGTACTATTAAACAGCCTTGATTAACTATACAATAATCGTGATGATTGACTATTACCTACTGATAATTTATTGGCAACATGATTAGATTGGTGGAGAATGAACTCAGAGTCACTAACTGTATCATAGTCAATCGTTTAAATGCATTCGCCTGTATCCATGAAGTAAACTGCTATGTCTCAGTCAAAGTTAGATGTTGACGTATCGAAAACACATAACTGGCTGGTAACTTGAAGATTTTCATCACAAACAGAGACCAATGAATAAACAACAGCAGTACAGAAACCACTTGTCATTTATTTTATTTTACTCGTGAAATCTGTCTCTTTCGGGAATTAATGCACTTTCTCTATGAAAGTATTAGTTGTATTCAGTGAATGGAAGTGAGATTAAGCTGTCATAAAATGTGTGATGCTTCTAACTTCTAACAACTATTTAACTGAAATACTACTCAGACTGCGTTAATTAATGTAAAACATTGATGAGAAAAACAAAAACGTACTTATTTACTTCTTCATTTAAATCCGAATGTTTTAGAATCTGATTTAATTGTTCTGCTAAACATTCAACCTCTCTTTTCATGCAGTTTTCAGCAGAATCTAGTGACGCCAGTTGTTGCTATTTCAATGTGAATGAATTAAAATGAGTGAATTTAGAAAATTATGCCTAAGTTATAGAGTGATGCAACCAGACTATGTGACATCTCTATTCCTGAGAAGTGAGTAATACACATACAGGTGCATAACAAGTCATTCGTGATTTCGATAACTTAGTTTCAATGGTATGAGTTTCACTCTGTCGGGAAATATTCGTCTTCCTTACATTTAATATATGTGAACAACAACAGCAGCAGTTTTGAATACCTATTTATTGCTATGTGTATCCTACTTGATAAATCATGGATGTGGAAAACGTTTTCTCAAGTGTATAACTTGAGTACTCAACTCTGAAATATCAATGTGATGTTTTCTCATATAAATCTTATTTTCATTCTCGGAAGTTTGATGAAGCTAAGGATATAAATGTGAATATTCGTTTACACAAATATAAATGCTAGATTTTGAAATTTTGAGAAATTATTATCTAACGTTATTATTTACTGTCAGTCAGCATTATGATAATTTTATCTATAATTAACAGGAGACTTTGACTCAAGCGTAAAGGATTTGTTTTCCTGCTTATCTCTGGAATAAATATCCAATGCCTTTATTTCGTATCATGGAATGTCTGTAAGAGTTAGAATGTGCGTCAATGGAACTGCTGACACTATTTTTAATTATCGATACATCATTTTTACTGTAGCTCTAGCTTTTTAGATGAATCGATACGTATATTCTAGTTGTGTAACATCTTGGTTATTATTTATTGCGCGAAATATGACTTCGTAGATGCTGCGAGGTTGTTATCTACACAGATTTCCGATAATCTCTACCGATGGCGTAACACCAATTAGAAGTGAACGCAACCTCTTGTCTCCCAGGTTGGTTAGATACGTGACTGGGTTAGCGCTTGAGACGCAATGCAGAGCAGTTTCCTCTTCAAGATACAGTCTTTCCGTATACCCTAATAACTTCCTGAATCACTAATGAGTACTAGTGGTGAATGGTAAAATGTAAGGACCGTATAATTTAATGTCACCGTAAGAAAATGTATTCCCTTAGTTTACTTTTAATCCTTTCAGACTGAAAATTAAATTTCTGGATACGATTACCTATTCTACCTTCAATCTTAGGTCTGCGATGCTTTCAAAGTGTCCCTTATTTATGTCGGGAAAACTTTTCTTGTTTTTATCTTTCTGTACATTTGTTTGATTAAAATACCAAATAAGGTGGTGTTTCTTCACTGCTCAAAACTTCACTCTGAAAGATTAATCGTTTATTGAACACTTTTGATATTCTGACTCTTGATAACAATAAAATTTGCTTGCGCCTTCCTATTCTGAGGGATAATACTTTGTGAAACTTTTGTGTCCTACCTATCAACTCCGTTCTGTTAACATTATGCGAAACTTGAACACTTAGTGATGACGATCCTTTGAAATAAATCGAGTCCAGGCATAATAGTATACAAGTGGCATATTTTTTACTCTAAGGAAAAGTGTCACACGCCTGAATTCCCGACAGAATGAGTTCTAGTAAAGTTGAAAATAATGCAGTGACAACAAGTGGCACAAAATAGAAAATCTAAGTTCAATGTTATCTTCTTGTTCAATCCAAAAGTGTACCTAATGCTAGAAAACAATAAAATTGGAGATATTTTACTAATTCTCCGTTATTTGCCTATGTAAATTAGGATCAAGTGAAGTGAACACTAAAATATGAAAGAAATTTTTTTAATAGTGGTCATAACTCTCCATAATTAAGATTTTCATGCACACACAGCTTTTTCATTTTCTGCATCAATTTCTATTTAACTTCCTGTTTTATTCACAAAAGAATTAGAACTGGAATAATTTGAACACAACAGGTATATTTTTAATGAGTACCTTATTCTTAAAACATTGATATTTAGTTATCGTAACCATAACTGTAAGCATTTACTCGTTGAAACTAACTGTTTATGTTGTTTGCTTACCATGTGAAAGTAGCAAGCCACTGTAATCGTATACATCGAAGTATAAATAAGTTCATTTTGGTTTTTATTTAATTTGATATTACTTTATCGTATCTATATTCTAACAGTAATTTATTACAACGAATAATCTAATACCCTCATGAAATACTAGCGTAAAACAGCAAATTCGTATGAGAATTTTTTTTACTTTTCATCAAATGAGAAGGAGTCACTAACTTCAGTTACGCATCATTCTCAGTTACAATAAATATATAGTTTAGGTTTGGCATATGGCTGTGATGTGAAGTGGCGGTGATCTAAATTAAAGCTTGAAGACAGATCACTTCAGATTTTGAAGTAGACTTTCGTTAAAGCCATTTAGAATTCTCTAAATGGGATCCGAATATGTTGAGGAGCAAACGCTGCTTAACTCACACTGACCAGAAGTCATCTCAACGACCGCAAACCATGGTGGACAACAGAAGCGAAAGGGGATGGAAAGGGATTCGGGATAGGCAGCGTCAGACAGCAATTTAGGCTTATTAGAGAAACACGTCTCAAAAGTCAAAAGATAAGGGGGAAAATATCCGTGACAATGGGCGGCTTAATTAGCTGGCAAGATGGGACATTATAAAAAACGCCTTGAGGAGCAACTTAACTGGCCTGTGAAGGCTGCATCTAATCTGAAATGAGACGAAGCAGCAGGACCTGATGGAATCACTCCAGAGAAGTTTAAGGACGGCACTGACGGCTGTATCAGGGTTAACTAGGGTGTAAGGCAATATCTGTGAAAGAGAAGTAGTCTTGTTAGACTGGTGTAAGTCACTGATTCTCGCAGTTTATATAAAGCCAAATGAGTTTTCATGTGTTAAGCTTAAGTATCTAATATCCTAGGCTCAGCAATCATGCCTAAGTCAAATGATGCTTAGGAGGAAAAAACTCCGGAAGACGAGGCAGCCTTTAGGCCAGAGAGAGTGTACTGATCACATCTCTAAACGCTGATAGACTGTGGAACATAGGTATACTTACCCTCATCCATATTCTTTAGCCTGAAGGCGGAATTCGAGTTTGTCAATCCAGAGAGGCTGTGACAGTGTCTGTCTGCTTATTTTCGACATAGAACTTTGCACAGATGTGTGGCAGTTCAAGCCGCCACACTCCATGTAGCACACAAAGCAAGAGAAGAAAGTAGAAAAAATGCATAATAGAGACAGTAAACAGAGGTGTGAGACAAAAGAATGGTAATGACGAAGAACAATATAGTTTCATTGGAAATTACAAGTCACAAGGAGTGGATGCATCTGCGCCGGCCATTGAGAACGATTTTGAGCCATATCACCAATTGTTTCCAACCATTGGTTTTTACTATCCAGAGGACCCCAACCAGGAAGTCTACACCTTCCTACCTGGCTTAAACTAACTGTTGTAGATTTCATTGACTGGTGCCATGTTTTGGTTTGACCTCCGCTAGCTCTTTTCCAGCATGACTCTATGCCAGCTAACATTGCCCGTTAAGGAGGGCGACGACTAGGCTAGAATACGTAACACATGTCCTGATCATCTCAGTCAATGTGACTGCTTCAAAACCTCATCTATCGATTTCCCCTTCCACTTACCTAGCACTCGACGCCCAACGTCAATATCGCTCACCCCATTATACCACTCCACACGGGAGTTAGAACGCAGGTAGGCACCTATAATCAAAGATCATGTCTACCACTCTAAATGGCCATGTCTCACAACCATAAAGGAGGACGGAACGGACTGCTGAGCAGTACACCCCCCTTTGGTCGATAGCCAGCCGGATATCACGTCTACGCCAGAGACAGCGTAAATTGGAATATGAGAAACGAGCCTTCTGTGTCTGTGCTGAGATTTCGTCAACGAGCAACCTGCTGGTGCTGGCTGATGCAACTTCCCAAATAAGTGGAGAAGTCAACACGCTCCCTATTTGTAAGCTAGGGGTCCGTGTTGTGCAGTCATGTAACATCATCTTACATTTGACGGGAGCGAATCGCATGCCAAACATTCGTAGACTGCAGCTCAGGGTATTCAGAAGACTCTGCATTTTGTCAGTGTCCTCTCCTAGAAGGACTATATCATCTGCGTATTCTAAGTCAACGAGATTATTCCCTGGTAGAAAGTCAGTCCCTGAGTCTCTGAAGTGAACTGGGGTTACGTCCATCAGTACATCTTCGATGAAATTGAATATAAATGGGGATGATGGGCATCCCTGACGGATACCACTAGTCGTCACCACTTCATATGACAACTCGCCATAAGCCCTCCCCTGGCTGCATGAGTTTGAGTAGAGTGCCTTGACCAGTGCAATGTATTTTCTCGGCATTCTCTTTACAGCCAAGCATCGCCAGAGTACCTCTCGGTCGGCAGAATCGAATTCCGCCCTTAGGTCAAGAAATATAATGACTGTTGGATCTTGGTAAGAATTCCTATGTTCTAGAATCTCTCGAAGGGTGAAGATATGATCAGTTAAAGGAGTCACAATAATGTATATCACGTCAACCAAGGCACTTGCTGTACTCAGACTCAAACCACCGAATAAAAGCTTATGGAAAGTTGTCACCTGAAGTGATAACAACCATTTGTGTCTGTTGGGGATGACCATTGTGCCCAACTTTTTTATTTTCATCATTGATGTACTAATGGATGTGACCCTAATAGATTTTAGAGTCTTATGGATTTACTTGTTGCTAGGGTACAGTTCAGTCGACTCAGTGTTTGAGGAAGGTACTGTCTCGCCATGTGAAGGCCTGATAAAATGCCCACCCTTCTGAATCCCTTAAGCAGAAACCTTCGAATTTTTGACATGCGATTACATTTCAGGACTGGATTGACCTGACCGCTAGCTTAAAGATAGTGAGTGGGGTGGTTAATAGTGTTGACCACTTCGCTTATTTGGGGGTTGTATCAGCCCTAATGGACTGAGTATCAACAAAATCTCACTACGGACACAAAAGACTCGTGTGTCATATGCCAGTGTATGCCATCTACGGGGTAGATACGATATCGAGTTATCGATCATAGGATGTGTGCAATGCAGTATTTCACTCTTTCCTTACTTATGGTTGTAAAAGATGGCCGTTAAAAGTAAAAGATATCGAGAGGATAACTATTTTCGACAACAGAAGTTTGTGTTATATCTCTTTATTAAATAACATAATCTCAGGAGTAATACTGAGATTAGGTGTGTACTTCAAGATCCTAGCTACTGTCATCTTTGTTGATTGGCATCGAGTGAGTTTAGAAAACATCTAGAAGTGGTCAAAATAAACTCAGATTCAGTCCATGAAATCTTTGACACCAGGTTTGAGATATGTAGAGAGATGTAGCCTGCCTGGTTGGGATCCTCAGCATGGCTGGAGCCTATTGTTGACATGGCTTAAATTCGTTTTCAGTGGTGCAGCTGCATTCACTCTCTGTGACGTCCCACATCCATTAGACCCTACTGTTCTTCCATGTGACCATTCTTTCTCCCTCACATTTCTGCTTATTAAACTGATTTAAAACGTCTTTTTCTCTTTTGTTAACTTCTCTATGCTACTTGGAATGTGTTAACTTGAAATGTTGCACTGCTGTGTTATGTTCTAAGTTGAAACTAAGTCAAATTCACTGTGCTAGTAGAACATACCTTCAGTTCATTACATCTTTTCTCGGCTTCAGCATAAGACGATCTTGTTCCATAATTTTTTAAAATTGATTTTTCTATTTTTTGTATATCATAGTCCATTTGAAAACAGTCAGCATGCAGTTGTTCCAGTTGAAAACATACAGGGTATTCTTTCTGTTCAACTATAATGTATTAGATATATTAAAGAGTAATAGTTATTAGCTTGAATAATTTAAAAAATAAATACAGTGGTAGTAGTTGAAATTTTGTTACTGTTTTCAAGATATTGTAGAAGAACTGGGATATTGTTTATTCTATGAATTTGTCATATTAGATACTAGTTGTAACAGAAAAATCAGATATCTTACCGAAGTGCAAAAAACAAGAGTAAGTATGCCTAGTTCTGAAAACGTCCTCACGTAGTGTACATTTCAAATATTTCTTAACGTCGTCATTTACTTTCCTTGTCAATAAGTAGTCAATATTTCCTAACCTTCATCACTATAATTTTTTTCATTTCTCAAAGTTTATGGCGGCTGCAGTTCGTATCAGTAGAATTCTGTTAAAATTATGCATTTTCACTTTATATATCCAGTCAGTGCATGCTGTAATGGTTCACATATCCTCTTTGCAACGGATTATGGTTTATCTGTATACAATGGTAAAGGGTTTGGTTATGCTGAAAATGACAATAAGTTGTGGAAAATCTATTTTCAGTGTATGCAGCTTCAGACCATTTCTCTAAAGAGGAAAATTCTAGCAAGTTTACTAGTGAATGAGTGAAAATTCAAACTAACAATGTGACGTAGGGATTCCAGACACAAAAAACTAGGATATTTCTAATGTCTAGGTATATTTTATTTTTGATTACAGCTTGATTCCACACCGTACTTTTGGTACAAGTATGGAATTTTCAGCGAGGATATCGGTAGCACAGAATTCGCAGGCCGACCATAAATATCAGGTGGGCGCGGCCGTGGGCTCGAACTCCGGACCATATGCATGGTCGGCGCGAGTTCCAACCACTGTGCCACCTACGCACATATATGTATACAACTTAGGCATTGTGATAGTATGTAGTTCCATGTTAGTTTGTTTATTAGATATATCACACAGTAAAACAGTATTATTTACTGGCTGACGTTTCGAACACAATTTATTGTTCATAATCATTATTATAATTATAATCACACGACTTCGAAACTTGAGTTTTATAGTTTTCTTTGTTCTTTCCTATTTGTCGTGGAGACAGATGTCTGGGACAGGTGTTGCATCATTCCTATTACACGTGTTTGCAGTTGAGTTGATAAACAAAGCTTCCGTTATCAATCTCTCCCTCCACATTACATTAGATTTTAAAACTCTCACCTTATCCCATCCAATGGTATGGGTGTGTGTAATTGCTTGTAGTGCAGTAACTGAACTGTTCTCCAGAGTTCTTATCTCATTCGGGTCGACTAATTCAGAGTTTGCTAGGTTCTTATGTTCGGCTAGTCTGACTGCACCTGTTCTACTACTTTGACCTATATATTTGACCTGACAATCATTACAGGGTATTAGACAAACTAAATTGTCTTGTTTTATTGACTCCACAGGGTCCTTTAACTGACAAAGCTTGTTTCTGGTTGAGTTTGTGGGTTTGAATGCCACTTTTATTCCTGCATTGTTAAGACTTCTCCTTGAGGTTTTTGAGGTTCCTTCTTTGTATGGGATAACTGCTGATGATTTGTATTCCCTATTGTTCCTGTTGTCATTATCCTGTGTATATTTCACATACACGTCGTCAATAATACTATTACTATTATTATCACTATCACTACCACTATTATTTATTTTTCTTTTATATGTTTTTTGTTGTTAAATTTCATAAGTCATGATACCCTATAAGACCTATAATTGATTTTAGAAATTCACCTACTTATGAATTATTTAAATATTTAGTTATGGTAATAAACCCTCTTAAAAGCCACTCGACATCTAGACTAACAAATTATTATGAACTAAAACAAAGATTAGGTAATCCAAAATTAGATAGTGAAGAAAAAATGGTTAGTTTTTACATTGTCAATCTATATACATGTATACCAATCAATATGACTATAGAGGCAGTTAGAAATGAACTTATTTCTGACCAAGAATCTGAACTTAGAGCAAAAGCGCCGCCAGAAGACACAGTACTACGAGTACAGCTATGTCTGACTTCCACAGAATTTAATTTCCAAGGAAAAATATACAAACAAACTGAGGGACTCTTCATGGAGTCATCAATATCCCCCTTTGTGGCAGATATATTCATGGGCAAGTGGGAAAAGTTAGCGATTGAAGCGATCAACCCCAATACCAAAATATGGTGTAGGTATGTAAATGACTCATTCACCGTACTGAGGACACAAGATTATTATTATTATTGTTCACTTGGGTTCCTAGTGGAACATAGGACTTCAACTGCACGTCTCCACTTACTTCTGTCTTCTGTTGTACTTTTCACCTGCATCCATGTTAGTTCATACTCTTTCAACTCCTCTTCACACGATCTCCTCCATGTCACCCTTGGACGTCCCACACGCCGCTTCCCTTTCGGGTTCCACTCGAGGGCTTGGCGCGCGATGTCACCCAGCGGTCTCCTCAGCGAGTGTCCGATCCATCTCCACTTTCTCCTGCATATTTGTTGGGCGATTGGTTCTTGCTTTGTTTGTTCCCATAATTCCTTGTTGGTGATTCTTTCCGGCCATCTGATCTTCAGTATTGAGCGAAGACAGTTGTTAATAAAGGTCTGCAGGCTGTTGGAAATATTCTTTGTGACCCGCCAAGTTTCTGATCCGTATAGAAGAACTGACTTTACGTTTGTATTGAAAATCCGAATTTTGTTGGTGATGCTGAGTGACGAAGATTTCCAGATTGATTTCAGGCTGATGAATGTGTTTCTCGCCTTCCCGATTCTCGCTCGATTTGACATCCTCGTCCGCTCCTCCTGTAGTTGAGACAATGCTCCCTAGATAAGTGAATGAAGTAACCTCTTTCAAATCCCTCCCGTTGATGGTGATTGACGTTGGATGTTGTTGCTGTTGTTGGTTGGTTATTTTCATAACCTCCGTCTTGTCTATGTTTACCTGGAGTCCTGTCTTCGCGGCTGCTTCTTCGACCAGTTTGTCGGTTTTCGCTTGTAAGTCTTCGATTGTGTGTGACATCAAACATAAATCATCCACGCGCGAAATCCAGGTCTTCTAGGTTCTTCACGTCGGTCCAGGATATTCCTGTCTTCTCGTTTCCCACAGTCTGACGCATAATCCAGTCCACCACAATTAGGAATATCATTGGTGATAGTAAGCACCCTTGTCTGACTCCTGTGTTTACTCCAAACGCCTCGCTGAGTTTTCCGTTGTGGATCACTTGGCAGGTGCCGTTGTCGTACAGCTGTTGAATAAGGTTGATGAATATTTGGGGTACGCCATAGTACTCGAGTAATTTCCAAATTACTTCACGATCAACGCTGTCGAAGGCCTTCTCAAAGTCTATAAAGTTGAGGTAGAGGTTTGATTGCCATTCCATGCTTTGTTCTGTGATGATGATGCGTAGAGTTGCAATTTGGTCAGTACATGATTTGCCTTTCCTGAATCCAGCTTGTTCTGGTCGGAGTTCTGTCTCCAGTGCGTCCTTTAATCTCTCCAGGATGATGCGACTCAGGATTTTACTTGGCGTCGATAGGAGCATGATTCCTCGCCAGTTCTTGCAGAGTGCGTAAGTCGCCCTTCTTTGGTAGTTTCACGAGGTAACCTTTCCTCCAGTCAGTAGGCACCTTTCCCTCCTTCCAGACCTTTTGCAATAATGGAGTCAGCATGTCTGCTGTAGTCTCTGGGTCCGCTTTCAGTGCTTCAGGGGGTATTCCATCTGGTCCGGCTGTTTTTCCAGCTTTCAGAAGTTTGATTGCGTTCAAGACTTCAGCTCTCGTTGGAGGATTGGTGTCAACTTGCAGTTGTGTGTGCGCTGTTGTTGGTATTTCTGGACGGGTTGCAGGTGATGGTCGGTTCAAGAGTCCTTTGAAGTGATCCGCCCATTGTTTAATCTGTTTTTCTTCCTTGGTAATGGGCTTCCCTTGGCTGTCTTTTATAGGTTTCGCTTGTGTTGGTCTCTTCCCGGATAGAGATTTGGTTATCTGATATAGTGTCCTCAGGTCCCTTTTGCCTGCTGCCTTTTCAGCTTCAGTAGCTAGATTGTCGTAGAATCGTCTTTTGTCCTTCCTAGCACTTTTCTTCACTTCTTTGTCCAATGCTTTGTAAGTTGAGCTCATCGTCTCCTTCTCCTGTCCGTCCTTGCATTGAATCATTTTCTCTTTCACCATTCTCCTCTCTTCTATTAATTTCCAAGTGTCCGTTGAGAGCCATTCCTTGTCTTGTCTCTTCTTTCTTCCTAGAACCGTTGAACACGTTTCGTTGAGAATCGCCTTCAGAGACTTCCAATGTTCTTCCACGCATGATTCTTCAGTGATGTCGCGTAGTGTTTCCTGCTTTGCTCTGACAGTTGCAGTGAAGGTGTCTTTTGTGGTTGTGTCCTTCAGTAATTGAGTGTTGAACTTGCATTGTGGCCTATCCCCAGCTATCCTCGAGGCTTTTAGTTTCACCTTGAAAGTCCCTTCTACTAGATAGTGGTCTGAACCCACATCTGCTCCTCTCCTTGACCTTGTGTCCAGTAGGCTCCGTCTCCACTTTCTTGAAATTGAGATGAAGTCTATTTGATTCTTGGTGTTTCCATCTGGTGAAATCCATGTCGTCTTGTGTATATCCTTGTGTTTGAACACACTACCGCCAATCACCAAATCATTGAAGGCGCAGAAGTCTGAGAAGAGTTCACCATTGTCGTTCATTTCACCGAGGGCCTCACGACCCATGGTGAGTTCTCTTCCTGTGTTGTCTCCTCCCAGCTTCGCATTCATGTCGCCCATCAGGATTTTGATATCGCCATTTGGGACGTTGTCCATTATTGCTTGTAGTTGTCTGTAGAACGCCTCCTTCTTCTCTTGTTCTGAGACGTTTGTAGGCGCATAACATTGAATGACTGTAACTTTCCTTCCTTTTGAGTTGAACCTGGCTGTCATTATCCTGGAGGAGATTGGTTCCCACTGCATGAGAGCTTTGGTTGCTGTTGGTGACATCATGATGGCCACTCCCTCGGTGTGCTCATGGTTGTCCTCTAGGTGGCCGGAATAGATTACTGTCTCTCCAGTAGGTAGTTGGCACCTTCCAGTTCCGTTCCATCTGCTCTCGCAGATTCCCAACACTTCTATTCTGTACCTTCTCATTTCAGCGGCTATCTGGGCAGCCTTTCCAGTTTCGTACATTGTGCGAACATTCCAGGTACCCATCCTTACTTTTGCTTTCATCGAAAGAAGGCACATCGGCTGACTGGCTTCCCGAAGGCTTTCACCAGCCTGCGTCATTTCACTTCCCCGATTCCAGCGAAAAGTAAGGCTATTGCTTATGTTTTTAGAATTTTTAATATATTTATTCGTTGAAGTTTCTGTAGCGATTTGGTTGTTTTACAGGGGTGGAGTTGCTAGCACCACGCCCCAACCCTCCCTCTTTACCCGGGCTTGGGACCGGCGAGAAAACTAGTAAGCTAGTAGCCTAGCAAGCTAGTATCTGGCGAGGTTGAGGACACAAGATATAGATAGATTTTGAGAACACATCAACTCAAACGTGGAGGCAATTTAATTCACTTATGAATTAAATAGTCAGGAAGGGGAGCTTCCAATGTTAGATTGTGGCGTAAAGAGGAAAGAAGATGGTAAGTAAAACACCAGTGTTTACAGGAAACCCACACTCTGAAACCAATATTTGGTTTTCCAATCATCCCATCATACGTCATTAAAAATATGATTGGTCAAATTTCCAAGTATTGGGACACAAAAACTGGGCTGTACCATAGAAAATCTAAAACAGGGAGTGAGACATATAAGACAGGCCTTGAAACTTAACAACTCTCCTGATAAATTAATCAGGAAGTATGTAGAAAAATGTAAAAATAAAATAAATATTAGCGGTAGTGATAGTGATAATAATAGTAATAGTATTATTGACGACGTGTATGTGAAATATACACAGGATAATGACAACAGGAACAATAGGGAATACAAATCATCAGCAGTTATCCCATACAAAGAAGGAACCTCAAAAACCTCAAGGAGAAGTCTTAACAATGCAGGAATAAAAGTGGCATTCAAACCCACAAACTCAACCAGAAACAAGCTTTGTCAGTTAAAGGACCCTGTGGAGTCAATAAAACAAGACAATTTAGTTTGTCTAATACCCTGTAATGATTGTCAGGTCAAATATATAGGTCAAAGTAGTAGAACAGGTGCAGTCAGACTAGCCGAACATAAGAACCTAGCAAACTCTGAATTAGTCGACCCGAATGAGATAAGAACTCTGGAGAACAGTTCAGTTACTGCACTACAAGCAATTACACACACCCATACCATTGGATGGGATAAGGTGAGAGTTTTAAAATCTAATGTAATGTGGAGGGAGAGATTGATAACGGAAGCTTTGTTTATCAACTCAACTGCAAACACGTGTAATAGGAATGATGCAACACCTGTCCCAGACATCTGTCTCCACGACAAATAGGAAAGAACAAAGAAAACTATAAAACTCAAGTTTCGAAGTCGTGTGATTATAATTATAATAATGATTATGAACAATAAATTGTGTTCGAAACGTCAGCCAGTAAATAATACTGTTTTACTGTGTGATATATCTAATAAACAAACTAACATGGAATTCAACAGAAGTTTTCAAAAAGGTGGCCATCACGGAAAGTATGAAAACTTTCAACACGATTCCAGTTAACATTCATGGTTGAATTTCTCACACACGTGGTAATTTTGGAGAAATTTCTTTTCCAAACATTGTCACCTGAGAAGGTTTTATGATGAATGCTCATAACTTACATTTGAGTGTGAAGAAAGTAAATTTCTGGCGGTAAGTGGTATTTTCTTTTGAGGAGATAATTATAACTTTACTACACTTTACTTACGTTTTTCACTTGTATTAACTGTGTTCAATTCTTGAACCCTTTTTTGCAAATTTCCCTGTCGGAGAAGCTCATCATGGTATTTTGTTTTCAAGAAAGATAACCTTCTGGTTAGCGTTTCAAGTTCCATTATTTTTGTCGGCGAATAAATACTTGTTGTTGTCAATACAGAATATTCTTTTAAATCCTCTCCGATCATATTAAGTAATACGTTCACAGCTGATTCAATTTCTTCACAATTATTAATATAACTTTTGAAAATCTCTATATTTTCCTCACTAAGCATCTGTTTCAAATGAATTCACAATTGACAATGTTAATCATGACTTTTAAAATGCGACCTCTTTAAACTTTAAGTTAAAAGCATTTGTGTTTTTTAAACTGTCATATTGCGCTTTATGATTTCTAACTCTTCAGTAATACTGATAATCCACTACTTTCAAATATATTTCGAGAATATGGAAATTGACTACAATACATTTTGTCAGCTACCTAACACACTATTGCATGCACATCGAAATGGCTTTTAATTCGCCAACATTTTCGTAAAGAATTTAGTCATGTCACATTAAATGACTTGTGCCCTAGACTTCGTTAATTTTTTTTCTTTCCTTCACGTTCCCCAGTGGAACATAGGGCTTAGAGCTAGTGGATTAAAGTTTCTGTAACAGTATTTATTTTACAGGATGGGATTGCTAGCCTCATGCCCAACCTTTCCTCTTTACCAGCATTACTTCTGGCTTAGTGAGGTAAAGGAGTGCGTTGGCCGAGGATCGAACCCCGCACCATGTGCATGATCGGCGAGAGTCTTAACCAATATGCCACCTACGCACAGGCTTCGTTACTTGTTTATGTTTATATCTTGTATTAGGGTAAAACACACTGGAGACCTATCTGGCGCAACAAATGTGGCATGTTTGCCAACACTGAAAAAGAGAGTTTAGCGAGATATCTGTCGAAAGTTTTTCTGTGAACTTTAACATCTTCGGTATAGTGTTGTACGAAGGCATCTATACCAAGGCATCATATTGGACACTGGGACACATGTTCTTTGACAATCAGCCAGAATCACAGGTGACATAACCACGTTAGAATATGCTTTTCTTTTTAGATTTACTTAACGAGCTCTGTCAGTTGAACCAGCTATCTAAAGATATACAGTGTTTGATTGTTATTTTAATAATAGGTTAACTGGAGTTAATTAAGGATACATATGCGGAGGGAGGAGACCTTGACAATAAAATTGGTCTTTCACTACAGGAATTTTAAAACGGAATCAGAAATGGGAGAGCCACAGCCGTCTTTTCAAAATCTTCGTGGCCTTTAATACTTCTTAATCCTACTTAGTTGCTCGTAATTAGTTGTAAAGTTGATTGAAGTGACTATTATAGTCTAACTTCACGTTAGATCCTTTATTTGTGGGCCTAAACAGTTCACAGTATATATCCAAGCTAGCACTGATTTTGGGAGCATTGCAGAAACATAGGGGCAAACTGCAGTTATCGATAACTCTCCCACATTCTTCAATGCGCCCAAAAAGCAATCTAGGGTCATAGCAGTTTCAGTTTAATGATTGGATGGTTGGATTTATTTTTATCCATTAATCACCTTTGACCACATGTCTATAGCGATTCGTATAATTGGTATACACGATCAAGTGATACTTCTGAATTTGATTACAAAGTAGTCTGTAGATCGTTAACTTGAGTTGTGATAACTTATATTTACGGGGTATATGGTCTATATATGCCATGAGAAGCAGGGTAACGGTCGTAGTGTACAACAAATGCGGTTAGTTTAACCTTCAAATATCTGCTACATTAGTCTCTATACTAACAAGTTTAATTAACCTCAAGTAGTAAGAATAAACAAAAGCACTTTTGGAACCATTATGAGATGTCTATTGATGTAGAGTACTTTCACAATAAAGTCCTCTCTAAGTATTGTAAAAATTGAATTCTGCGGCAAGACTCAGATGGTTTTTTGATGACCAAAGTCGAGCAGCGAATAAACCACATACTATTAGACTGATCATACAAGTCTTTCAGTTTATTAAAGGACTGCCTCCCGAGTCCAAAACAATGGTTAAAACCAATTATGTCACAGACACACGTTCACCTATGTCCCCCATGTGCCTGCAGCTTGTCCCTCGTGAATTCATCTGCATAGTTTTTACATTTTAAACCTTTGGGACATAAGTGAAGACATATAGTAGAATCATTGTTGAAGAAATCTATACAAAGTTGTCAAAGTTGTCCACTAGCATCTCAGTATCGCTTTGTGAAATGGAGCTTGTTTCAAACAATCCTCTCAGCCCTAATTTAGTGGATCATATTGGATTTAATCTTAAAATATTTTCTGCGTTTAGGATCATCAAGGCTAGTAGGTTAATAGCATTATTCTTTTCAGTGTTCTGGGAGGTAAATGTTCAATCCTGAAATGAGTCAATCACTGGAAGCTACTGAAATGACACGAAGGGGTAAAGAATTCCAGTGGTTCGTAGCTGGATGAGAGCCACAAACATCAAGAAATAGGTGCTTTGACTTCTTTCCTAACCTTAAGTTGATGGGCCAGGTTTTAGTGAGGAGAAGCAATTAGTGTGACTTTATGCTCGACTTATCGCGCGACAAATGGACTGCTAATATAAAGCTAATATGATGGTGTAAATAAGTCTCACTGACTCAACCTGTCCTAATTGCAGGTTTTTGAAAGTTTTTGATGATTTTGGCTTTCATTCCTTGCAATTTCTCCACTCTGTCCGCTATACTATTTCTGTTTTGATCCAGTATTCAAAGCGCGGACTTATATATTTCATAAGTAATATGCATGGTTCATCGACATCTGTGCGTCGGTGGCACAGTGGTTAGGACGCTCGCTGACGATGCACACGGTCAGGGGTTCGGCCGGCGCACTCCTTTACCTCGCTAATCCAGAAATAATGCTGGTAAAGAGGAAAGGTTGGGCATGGGGCTAGCAACCCCATCCTGTAAAAGAAAACACTGCTACAGAAACTTCAAGCCACTAACTTGAGGCCCTATGTTCCACTGGGGAACGTGAAGGAAAACACAAAAAAGACATCGACATCAAAACTATGAAGAAAGGAGATGTTTTTCCAAATCAGTTAGCAACATCTGATCCACTGTTGACCGTAGTCTTCATGTCACTCGCCCCTTAATCTCCGTGCTGCTTAATAGCACTGATATTTGTTTACTGTAGTTACGTGCATTGCAACAAGCTAGATGGTTATTTACCTTTTCCTGTGTTAATTTACAAACACTAGCACCTACACCATCCATCAATAACTGGAAATCTTATTGTCATGCGAAGCTTTCCAAGGCTCTTTATAGTCGGAACTAGGATGATAGGAAAACGGGCCTTGAAAATACTTAGCATATGTGAATGCATTCTAATGGCTTGCATGATGAATAAAGGTTGCACAGAAGTTTGACTCAGTACCTGGTCATTTATTCTGTAATATAGTGGGACAAATATGAATAGCCAAGTAGTTAATATACTGTATTTATTTTCAATAGAAATTCTAACTACTGATGATCTGATGTGAGGGACGGCCCCACTTCCACCTAAACACCCAGGCTGATAGGTCTTTCCGATCACCCATACTGTCGTTGACTCTCAAATCAACATGTTGGCATTCCTATTCGTCCATAAGCTAGACCGCAAAAGAGCGGGATTCTGAAATGGTAGATATCAGCATAGATTATGCAACGGAAAACCAAGAAAGCAGGACTTGAAGAAATGACCTCTCTAGGCTTTAGTAGTGGAAACCGTAGCGGATGCCGGCTTCGAAACCGACTTTTCTGTCAGAATAATTGTTTCACGTTTTATAATTTGGTAGAAGACTAATGGTGTTTATGAACTTTTATTTTTGCAATCACACAGAGGTCAAGTGGAGTAGGGAAAACGTAGTCAAAAAATGGAGGGCCATTAGTCATTCAGTAGATAAAGAAAGGCTTGCAGATCATAAGGAAGATATTGTTCCTACTCGGTTACTCGTCCTATTTGTCTGAACTCTTTATTTACTTACTCTCCTTCTGAACGAACCAATTACTCCTTTTTTATTGGCCATAGCATACCGCGATGTGGAGGCCTTGCACCAGCTTTTCCCTAGAAATGACCTTCCTAAGAACATCGATTCGGCTGGCTTATCTTTCTGAGTTGTGTTTAGGGTTTTCCATCGAGTGCCCGGGTGTTCCGTGAAGTCAGCTTACGCGTTGTTGCTATGAGTCCGTCCACATAAATATGCCGAATACACGTAATTCATAGAACAGGTTAAGTTTGTTCATCTAGCCTTTTAAGAAATATAATCCTGCTATTCAACCCAATTTACTGCTAAAATTTCCGACTGAAATTGCTAAATCTGACTATTATCATCTGCCATGTAATTTGAGCACACTCCGCTGCTGGCTAATAATCAATATCTGCATACTAGTTTTTCTGCCAAGAGTTCGTTTATATGAAACAAGTCAACAGGGCTTTCTCGACTCTGTCCCGTCATCTTCAGCCTGTAACTGAGACTCCTTTATATGCATTTACCCAAGGGTCAGCCCAGATTATAGTTCGTTTGCCTAGTAAACAGCAATCAGCAAGAGTAACGAATTCAGCAATATTTATTTCCAGCCATCTGGATTGCTGCTTTACACCATGAACACTGATGTTATAACGTTAATATGTTTCGTCAATCTGCAGTTCACTATGCTTGTAGCATGGTCACGTTCATCACCAGAGGTCGGCTACTCAAATATTCCGTTAGAATGTCCTAAAGGTTTGTCTAGAATAATGACTGATGAGTTTATACTGGCCTAGAAGTTTAACTTGCCATGTGGAGACGAGAACTAAGTGGAGACAGTGGGTTAAACATGATTAAGTTGAGAAAAAAGCAATTTGAAGAAGTTGTAATTAGGCTACCCAGCGCCGCTTCTGTGAGATGGGATTTTACCTGGCTCTGACCAGCGAACGTATGCTTGATCACTTGCTTCTTCGGACCCCTGCAATGCGATAAAGGAACGAAGGCGCTAGTGACACAACCAAACGATTTCACCACATTCTAATAATAATAATGTATATTCTCATATAAACATATATATTTACATGAAAATGCATGAAAAATGCTTCACTACCCATACAAAAGATAAAGAAATAAAACACTGTCAAACGTAATATTAAAATATCGAGGTGTGTTCGTAGATAATTTTCTAATGAATCTGGACTTATTAAGATATTTGGTCATCTGAAGAAGATAAAATACGGAAACCAAGTGTAGGTGCTTTATATAACAAATAAGACAGAAAAAATCAAACCTAATTACTTCTACAGGTTTCAAAATTGTATGTACAAATGAACATCTATGTGAAAATCCTGGATCATGAACACTACGATTTTTACAGTGTGCCCGGCAGTTGACCAGTCCTTCAAATTCAGGTGGCTCAGAGAAGATTATTGAGTTTTCGTTCATGGGATATGAAAATTCAAAACAACACGTTAAGGCTGTTTCAGTTATGGTACTTTGATCTTAATCAAGAACTGTTATGGTTACACACGTTACACGTAATGTACCTCCTGCCGACCGTCTAATACTCAACTTCAACCTATGAATTTCCGTGGATTAAATGAGACTGGGCCAGTCACCAGTGAAAAGCTTTGATACAAATATGAGAACAAGTACAAACTCAGTGAGAATACGTAATGCATGAAGGGGTATGGTAATTTATCTAACTATTCCAGTTATTCTTTGTTAATGTTTAAATGGATGTAATTGTACAATTATTATCAATGTTCATCTTAAAAGTAGCTTATGAGGTACCCGCCGTTACTAGACACAGTAGGTGTTTTGGTATGGTTAGATGAGTAGGATGCTTAGGACAGTTACTGTCATTATCAGCGATTGGAGTACAAAATTAGGAATCGATTTCATGCTTTTCTCCAACTATTGTTTAGGTGCCACAAGCCAAATAGAGTGGTTTAAGAAATGAGTAGGTAAACAAGTAGCTTTCTCCGTTGTACTGTTATTATAATACCTCGTCAATTAGAGGCCGTATGCTTACACAGGACTGCTGTGTTGCATCAACAAGTTTGACCATTGTGAAGTAGTAGCGATGCGTAAAATCATAATGAACAGATTGTATATTGGTGTTATGTTGTAAGTGGGCATCCTATGGCCTACTACATCCCTTCATGAACTGGTGTTATGTGTATTTAAAGTCTGGTTTATTACAGTGAAAAAATGTACAAGCCTAGTTATAATTAACATATATTCATAAAACAATCAATAAGATGGCAGCGCTGATTTGGTAATACTAAATAGACATTACCAGGCTGAAAAACGGGCTTCGCATTTAACTTAGATAACTTGTGAAGCAAAAAACCTGACAAGTTACGTAGTAAGCTGTATACATATTCGCATAAAAGCTGTGAATATAACTCTATTCTGTGTTAAGGGCGATTGGCCCGGCACTGGTTTTAACAGTAACGCTCGATGCATACAAAACAATAAGCTAATCACAATGTATTACATCGCCGCTAGTATACAGGTAAAACTCGCCTTGAACTGCATGGACCTAGTTTCCTTCACCCCACCACTGATGTGGCGTCATTTTCTATTT